ACGCCGGTCCGTCTGTCGCATGAGGATGAAGTCGAGGCGGTGCTTCTCCTTCCCCTTGTTGGAGCTCTGGAACGTATGCTGCACTCCTCCTTTCGGTGTCCGGAAGTAGGTGTTGATCAGGGAGAGTCGGTTGTCTGCTGCCAGTCCGAGAAGTCGTTCCCCGTTGTTGTTCATAATGTCGCGTCCGTACGCGCCCATAATCTTGGCATCGCAGCATCCGTCTCGCCTCCTGCCAGTACGTGCGTTGGCGTCCATTAGTACCACGAGATGGTCACGGCTATGGACCTCCCGGGAGGTGTGGTGACGTAGTGGAGTACACTTGTTCTGTGAGACGAAACGGGGAGTTGCTGTAGAGGTTACCGCGGTCTATGTAACCAAACTGTGGGAGGCTTCGGATAAAGTGGCCGAGAACGGAGCGGGAGCTTCAAGCGAAGGCGCAGGGGTTTGCTGCTCGGAGTTCCCAACTTGACCCTGTCCTGAAGCGCTGTGTGGGAGCATTGGATGGACTCCTTGTACGACGCAAGAAGCCTAGCATAACCGAACACCCTTGTCCAGATCGGTTCTTTTCAGGGCGCAGGATGACAGTGGGCATGAACTACCAGGTGCGAAACCTACATAATTCGAACCTATGTAAAAAAGCAGTAGACTGACTCTCTCTGTCTACACCGGTCAACAGCAGACTACTTGTTGTAGAAACAATTACTTGTTGTAGAAACAACAAATGACGGCCGTACTGCTGTTTGGGTTGTGTTGTTTAGGTGCATCAAAATGTGTAAAATAATCCCCTCTCCTTGACCCGCTGCAGGACACCGTCGGGGAACACAATCACGACACCCGCCCTTGCCATCACACACTTATGTGGAAACAGAGTACAGAACGCGCCCGCAAGTAAGAAACGTAACATATGGGTTGAGGCTCAATTTCTTATTTTCGACCGACCTGCCAGCCTTTGTTGCTGAAATCTTTTCGCCGTTTCTTATTTTTTGGCCTCGCAGGATTTGCTTGTTTCTTGTATAATTTGGGGTTTCCCCGCCTTTCACCAGTTCATTTTTACCAGTTCGTCACGAACTGGCGAAAAATGGCAGTTGAAAAATACCTGCCCGCGAAGGCGGCGAGACGTGTGCCTGTTGGTGTGAATGATCGACGGAGCTCCACCCCCCCCCTCAAGTCGGGCGTACACACACGGAGCATACTGGCCCACACCCCGCACACCACCGCCGATGGCGCGCCTCCACCGTGCCAGGATGGGCCATGAGCGGTACGCTGAGTGCATGCGCATCCTCCTGCTCGCGGCAGTGTGCGGAGCGCTAGGTGAGGAGGACCTATTACTCGTTTTCGGCGCATATTGGGTGGTGAAATGGCGCGCGTTCCAAGAGCTCGTCGCGCCGACACAGCTAGATGGCATGAGGTACGACTTCATGGAGGTGCTTGGTGGGTTCGACTTCAAGGAACTGTTGAGGTTCGAGCAGCCCCACTTCCGTCGGCTTTTGGCGGCGCTGGAGTTTCCACCCGAGTTCGTGATTTCGAGGTGAGATGGCACGCTGCGGCATGAAATCTCATGCCTCTGGTCCCCTTGGTTCAGCAGTAGACTAGTCTAGTGCCGCACACAAGTGAACGACCGTGCTGCAGTGGATCCCTCGGGAATATTGAGGCTTGTAAATGCTGCTAAGGCGTGTTGTTGCATATGCAGGCTAAAGGTTGGGGCAATGCGTGTGGTGTCGATTCGCAGCGACTCTCTTCTGGACGTCGTCCTATCACTCCGGAATTTTTTGGAATTTGAAGATGTCCGCCTCTCTCTGTCGGTTTAGGCGACTACTACAGCTGTTGCGGCCACCAAAAAGAGGTTCAGGTTTAGGGGTAGGAGACGGAGGTGTAAAAGCGATAATTCTTCCGGGGTGGCTCACGCTTGTGCCTGTCCCACGATCCGCTCTTGGAGGAAACAACATTGAAACGCCATTGTGTGCTTTAGTGTTGCTGTGAAACGCCAGGTGTCCCCCAACCCTCCACAACCCCGACTCCCTGTTCCCGTGTTGTGTTTAAGATCTCGCCTCGTATTTGTGACTGGGCAGGGGGGGGAGAGGAGTGCTAAGAATTCCGGCACGTCTGTGTTTGGCAGTCACTCTGTGGAGA